AATTGAGGATAAAATATTTGCGTTGAGTTGAGATAGCCTGGTTCTCTGTACCGCCAATGTACTGAGAAAAAGTAGATTCAGACACGGAGATATTTTCTTGTTTAAACCTTTTCCTGCTGACTAGAATAATCGCTTTGGAGCGATTATAATGGACTCCTGTCACTAGCGATTGATATTTTTGGCACAAATGGCTCCCCATATACTCATAGCTCCTTTTTAAAGCTTGACTAAATTTATATTCGACAATTCAATCAATTTTTGGTTGTCTTCTGAGATAATTTGATATTCAGAGTCGCAAATATGGTAATTGTTGAGTCATGGCGGAAACGATTGCTCAAGTTTTATATCGTTAAGCACTAACGAAACCTAATCGATAAAAGGACAGAAAAAAGAAAAGACAGAAAAAACTGAATTGTTTGGAAGGAGAAAATTATGCCAATCAAACCTCAAACCATGGTTGTAAAACATTTGCATTAAGAAAAGTGTTTGGTATTTTAAACTGTACATGAAACTAAATTGATTTTCCACAGAATTTCCAAAAGCTCTAGATTTTCATGGAAAAAGCTTCATCCAAATTTTGACACGGGGGTTTTTCAATGGATCTCCTTTTCGTCCTCCAACAAGTGGTAGCTCAGTTTCACCGGCATGAACTACCCAGTCGTGCTTGAACTCATCACAACTGAACCCCATTGTTATTACTTTTCAGACAAAGTCATGGTCTTACCGGGCGCCGTAACAGACTACGCAATACAAGAAAGCGCAATCCCGTATATGGATTTAGCTGCTATTACAGTTGGCATGATCGCAACTTGGAATCCTTCCAATGTCAAACCCAAGGGTACCCAGTGTTTATTAAGCTACGCTGTCCCGGGATCTCACAATAAATTGACAATATGCACAAATCCCACTCTAGAGTTCCATACACATATGATCAAAAGGTTTGTTTCAGCTTTGTCCTACTGCAATTTCACATCAGTCAAATAATGTTGTTCAAGATCAATTCCAAACACCCTCCCTGTGGCTTATGAATAAATCTACGGAATATCTTTCTTCAAATTCTATGTGTGTATATGTAATGATCAAACTGCTCTTTGCCTTATCAGAATCAGCGTTTGTGAGAGGTGGAGAGAAAAAGCCTTCGTATGTTCAAAAGTTTGTACCAACTTTAATCGAACATATTATTGACCATATGTTTTGGTTGATTTTGTCTTTATTTTATCTCTATGTTTTTTTTTTTTTTAAAGGAAAATTAGTTGTGTAGCCTCCCCATTGTGGATAAACTTTTTCACCACCTTTGCTTCACATGGAGCAACACCAACTGAGATTATCAAGTCTGGCTAGATGGAGAAGTCGTCGGGAGAGGCTCTGACCAAGGTTATGAAGGTCAACTGCACCAACAACAGACCAGTTAAAGTGAGGGATACCATCTTGGAGGAAGTAACATCTTTTGTCTACCTAGGCAGTGTAGTCAGCATTGACGGAGGTTCCGATGAAGATTTCAAGGTCAGGATAAACAAAGCCAGAGTAGCTTTCAATACGCTGAGGAAAGTGTGGTCCTCCCATGTCATCTCACGGAGAACCAAATTTAGAATTATTAACACCAATGTCAAAGCAGTCCTCCTCTATGGCTCAGAAACGTGGAGAACAACTAAGCAAACGTCCCAGAAATTGCAGACCTTCGTCAATAAGTGCCTTAGGCGAATCTTAAAAATCAGTTGGACTGACAGGGTAACGAACGAGATGCTGTGGGAATTAGCAGGCGAGGAACCAATCATAACTCAGATCTCAAAGAGAAAGTGGAGATGGATAGGTCACATCCTAAGGAAACCGGCTAACAACATCACCCGGCAGGCACTACGTTGGAACCCCCAGGGCAAGAGAAAGAGGGGTCGTCCCAGGAACTCCTGGAGAAGAGGTGTAGAGTCCCAAATGAGAAACTGGGGCCACACTTGGGCCACTTTAGGAAGATTTGCCCAGGACAGAACCCGATGGAGGACGGAACTGGTTAATGGCCTATGCTCCAACCGGAGCTAAGGGAATATATATATGATTAAACACGCGGGTACTTTGCTCATTGAACAAGATCAAGACATGGTTGGAGGAAAATTAGACCCAAATCAGTCCTGGACTGATCAAGACTGATCGGTGTCCGGATTGAATTTATGGGGTTCGGTTCTGTCAAAGAGCGACATGTATTATTATCAGCATATGATACGAAATAAACAGTACTTACCAGATTCAGATCTAATTGTTTCGTTCTAGCTTAAAACATGACACAATTTCTTTAATTTCTTCAAACCTTAATTTTGTTTTCATTTCACAGTACCACCTTTTCTTCCTTCGACATTTTTTTTCGATATTGACGATAAACAATACTTGTTTGAGTCACTGTACCTTGACATTCTAAACAAGCACGCACCACAAAAGCAAGCACACATAAGGGGCAATCAAATTCCTTTCATGAATGAACAATGGCGTAAAGCCATTCGTCACCGCAACAAACTTTGGAAGAAGTTCACGCATCAGAGGACCGACGCTAATTACGCCGAATATAAGAAACAAAGAAACAAATGCACGTCAATTAGGCGCAAAGCGATTGAAGATCATTTTAAAAACAAGTCAGAGACCGACAATCCACGTGCAATTTGGGAGGCTTATCGTCCTTTTATGCATTCGAGGTCAAGTAAAGAAGCCAATGACATTACGCTAATTGAAAACGATGTAGTTATAACGGATAAAAAAGAATTGGCTGAATTGTTCAACAACTACTTTGTTCACATCATTGATGATGTACAGAACATTAAAGAACATAACTTTGGACACGAATTCAGTGCACACCCCAGCATTCGAGCAATTGCGGAGGAAAACAGAAGAAAGAACGCCATACATAATTTTAATTTTAAATACACCAGTAAGAACTAGGTTGAAAAACTACTACTAAACATCAACGCACGCAAGGCTTGCGGCCACGACACCATAACTCCGCGACCTCTTAAGGAATCCGCTTCTGTGATATCTGGTCCACTAGCAGAGTTAATGAATGAATCGATCAAACAATGTAAATATCCTGCTCGATGGAAAATGGGGCAAGTAACACCTCTTTTCAAGAAAAATGATGAATCGAGTAAAGGAAATTATCGACCAGTTACTGTTTTACTGGCCCTAAATAATGTTTTTGAGAAACTCCTTGCTTCTCAACTAGACCAGTTCTACACTGAACTATTGTCTGACTACATCTCAGCGTATAGGAGACACTATAGCTGTGAAACCTCGTTAATGAGGTTAACAGAAGATTGGAAGCGTAGTCTGGATAAAAAACAAATTGTTGCAGTGATATCAATGGATTTATCTAAGGCTTTTGACACCATACCGCATGGACTTTTTGCTGGCTAAGCTGAAGGCTTATGGTGTCAACAGTAGAAGTTGTATGCTTCTTAAAGATTACCTACACGGTAGGATGCAGCAGGTGAAAGAAGGTGATACAAGCTCTGATTGGCAAGAAGTCAGGCGAGGAGTACCTCAAGGCAGTGTTCTTGGACCAATGTTTTTTAATATTTTTATAAATGATTTATTCCTGCAAATTAAAACTGTACAATTAAATATGTATGCAGATGATGGTCAACTCTACACTGCCGATACGGATCCGGTATCTTTGGAAAGGCGTATCTCGCGTGAGGTAAGCTCAGCAAATGCCTGGTATGAGATCAATGGAATGATAGCAAATCTCAGCAAACACCAAGGGATGATACTAGGAAAAACTGATCATCAATTTAATTTCTCAGTAAATGACTCAGTGGAACTTTTTGGCGTCACAATTGATAAAGATCTTACGTTTAAGCAACATGTGTCCTCTGTATATAAAAAGGTAAACAATCAGTTTAGCGTTATGACAATGTTCGGCAAACTGATGTCTACTGAAACCATGCTACGTCTTTATAAGGCATTTATACTTCCTCACTTTTATTATTGTACTATGGTGTGGCATTTCTCTGGTAAAAAAGATTCTGATAAATTGGATCTTTTAAACAAACGTATTCTTCGATTTATTTTCAAGGATTTTAACTCTGAATACAATAATTTACTTAAAAGGGCAGGAACTGTAAACCTTAAGGACAAGCGTTTACAAAACATGATTCTTATTATTTTTAAATGTTTACATTTTTCTGATTATCCAAGATATTTAAAAGATATGTTTCGCTTGCGCTCTAGCACCTATTCTTTAAGAGGACATAATATACTCTGTTTGCCTTAACCACTGACCACTTCTTATGGCATCAATTCCTTCAGTTACTTGGCAGCAATATCATGGAATTCTCTTCCTGACCATCACCGCACTATTTCTGATTTTACTTCTTTTCGACGACTGCTATCTACTGGGTAAAATAATTTACTTAAAAGGGCAGGAACCGCAAACCTTTCTGCATCAAGATGATTTGCTAGTTAGTTGTCTTGGTAGTTAGTTATCCTATTTGTTATAGAATTAATCTCTTTATTATAATTATTTATTAATGCAGTTTGCTCGAAGATATTAGCATCCGAGTGCTACACTGTAAATTTGAGGGTAAATAAAGTTTATTGATTGATTGACTGAATCCTGGTATCAATGGATCCCCATAGACAATTTATGGGAAAAAGTCAAGAAATTCTTTTGAAATCAATTAATTTTTTAATTAAAACTTACATAGCGCAACTTTCCATGGCACATGATCAAATAAGCTTTACAATAAGTTAAAAAGACTAAAATTTATAAAACTTACAAGCAGATAGAAAGAAAAATCTAAAGGCAGTTTATGGTTTTTGTCATTGTTATCGTTATCCAACAAGTGTGGAGCTACACCTGTTGTAAAAATCTCCTTGATCGGTTGTAAAAATTCTTTGTGGGGTTCAGATTTCACCGCTCTTTTCCCTTTTTTTATTAATTGAATGTCCTACCCTTAGGCAAAAATACGGAGTTAGAGAAAAAGGTGGCCAAAATTTCATGACCCAATGGAATGAAATGCCTTTCTTCTTGCTCTGGCGCTCATCTATCGACTAGACAACCCCAGACAGATCGATCAAAATATAAATACAATAATTTTTCAAGAGATTTACCTATGTATGTTGGTATTCATCATTTAAATTTCCATAGACCCAAAACAATTTATGTAATGACTTGCCATATCACAGCGTTATAAATGAAAACGGATAAGTCTTTATGGATAAAATTCGTCGGCAGAGATAAAGAAGAAATTGCGTCATATCGCATCAGGTAAAATAATTGTTTCGGTTGTTAGACCTCAGGAAATTCTCGCTCTTTTTATTTTTAAAGCTGCTAAAAAAATTCCGCAACTTCCGCTTCAACTATGCCGTCCCCTTCCATGTGAACGATCAGCTCATCATTTTTTCAGTTTCCATGCCTCCTTTCTCAGTCTTCCCTTACATTTCCCTTCATGTAGATAACGATCTAGAAGAGAGACTCCATGAATGAGGTTGTGTCACTTTTGGTACGCAGTCTAACGTGTTCCATCAATCTCTATTTAGTCGAGTTATTTACAGCACTTGCTAATATTATCACCGTTCTCCTTCTTGTGTCAGATCTGCGAATTTTTTTAACAGGAAGCAACCTGGCAGAGAATCTATGAACGTTCAAGTTGATATACAGCTTCGAGAGGATCTACTGGCCGAAGATCAATTTAAAATTTTCAACACCAGATCGGCTCCAGTTCACAGATACGCGCTGGGAAAAATGTGTCGATAAACGGGGCGACGAAGTGAACGGTAGTAAGATTATTAGCTTCCTTCTTTGACTCGGCTAAATTCATATTATGCTTACAATCCGTTGTTGGTTTTGTTCCTAGAATTGTCCCTTCGATGTTCAAAATCACGCTCGAAAATCAGGCCAGGGAGAGAATTTCTCGGTTGAAAAAGATTTAACGAAGGTTCGTAACCTTAAGCGTCAATTTAACCTAGGAGATAAGTGACAGAAAAAATAAAACAAGACAAACAAACAAGCAAAAAAAAAACGACAACAACAACAAAAGAAACACCCTAAAGGGAGGGAAGAAGGGAGGACGCAATTGTTTTTCATTGAATGTCGCGCCCAGATGGTGTAAATAATAAACATTTTTTGTTATCGATTCTATGGGGAAATATTGCGAGGAAATTTATGAACCATTATTCCTTAGCATGTTCTCTGCCATATCGGTAACTGAATTGAAATAGGAATTTCCTAGAATATCTTAAGATTTTGATCGCAAAACGCAAGTTTTCGTCCTTGACACGACGGCTTTTGAATGAAATCTCTTCTTGTCCTTCCCCAATTCTATTGAAAGCTCGAGTTTGACTGGAATGAACCGTGTATGCACACTTGAATTCACCACAATTAAACCCCATTGTAATTATCTTTCTGACAAAGCCATGTTTTCTTAGCAGGCCCCATCACAGATTATGCAATGAAAGAAAACGAAATCCTGTACGATCTGGATGCTGTTACAATCTGCATGTTTGCAAACTGGAATCCTATGAATTTCTCGCCTGAGGGTGACTAATGTATGTTCAGTTACGCTGTGCCAGGATCACACAATGAGTTAACGCTGTTTACATATCTCAATCTCAGAATTCTAATCCATGGCAATAGAAGGTTTTATTTGGTTCTTATTTCCTTTATCATTGCAGAAGAGCTTCATAACAATCAAATTATATCATTCATTTTCAAAACACCCTCCCCGTGGCTTTTGAAAAAGTTCCGTGGGATATCTTTCTGTAAATTCCTATGTTTATGTATGTAAGAATGTAACTGCACGACATGTTTTAGCTAGATAAGCATTTAGTAAGAGTGGACGGAAAAATCCCTTATATTATAAGAACTTTGTACCAACTCTGAGCGTGCAGAATTAACGTCAGCATCTATTTGTTTGTTTGTTTCTATTTCCCCAATTTCCCCAACAATTTCCGCGTCTTGTATATTAAGTTTTCTTCCGTCTCTTTCCATTTTGCAATTTAAAACAATTCGATATTACTTCGCCAAAATTCTGAATAGCTTTAAATATTCTTTTAAATGTAAATTCGGTGTACCTCTTTCCTTGAAATAACTAAGGAGGGTCCAAATGAGGTCAACCGTTAGCCATAAAACGGCTAAAAATGAAGCCGTTATGCGTAAAGATTTACACATTTTTATTGTTAGTCGTTAGAAAGTTAATCGTAAAAATTTTTCCTTTTAATCCCGAAGAGAGGACGTTAACCGTTAGCTATAAATTAGCCAAAATTTTAACCGTTAGCCGTAAAAGCTATCGACCCATTGTGGCCCTCAATAAGTTGCTCAATGGTCTGAACGCGCCCTATCCTGGTTATGAACTGGTAGAAGAGCGAAGTTTGACCTTACATTGTCCCCCTTAAAACCTATTCACACCAAAGCTTAAACATGTCTTAAAGCTGTTTTGTTAAACTCCTTTCTCCTCAAAAGATGTTTAAAGTTATATTTTTTTCTACTTCCAGCACTTTGAAAATACAAGTTTGTAATTGCTCGAACCCTATGGAAAATTCTGGTCTTCATTTCAGAGGTAGCGGTCTTGAGGAGGGACCCTGGGAATGAGGTTGTCTTACCGTTCGTACCCAGTCTAACGCATTTTACCTTTCGCCATTTTGATTTTTTTTCCTCAACACGTGTGACAAACTGATCTTCCATTTATCGCCATCAAACTTGTTGCTTCAAATCTGTAAAAATTTTGAACAAGATGTCATTTGGAGGAGCATCTGGGAACGTCCAAGTTGATAAACAGCTTCAAGAAGAGCTGCTTGCTGAAGATCAAAAATACAAGTTCCAACACCAGATTCACGAGTTTACAGATATGTGTTGGGAAAAATGTGTCGAGAAACCGGGCAATAAACTCGATGGGAAAACAGAAACTTGCATCGAGAACTGTGTGGAAAGATTTCTCGATACGACAAAGTTTATCGCTAACCGTTTCAGCGAACGGTTTAAGTAAAGGCCTCGCTTGCTGGATTGATTATTGCATGTTCCCGGCCTGACATGACAAAACGGTTTTAGCGGTTACCAATAATATTGGACGACCTTTCAGTGAGGAAAACGTGTGGTTAGCAGAACGCAGAGATGTACATTTGAAGATTTTGACTGTGTGGGATTGAAGTTCTGCTCTCACCATCCGAAGCATCTCGATCGGCTCACAAGGAGAAAGAAGGAACAACAATTAGTAATTTTACGTATTAGGACGAATTATGGGCACGATAAATTTAAGTGAATTTGTACTGGATTTGAACGTACCAATTTTCAAAAGGTCAAATTACCAGGGGGGTTATGTTTAAGCTTTGAATTGATTAACTCATTAGTTACAGGTGATTCATGCTAGTAAAGATGTTGTATGTATTCAGACTCTTATTCCTATGATTGACAGCACATGGCTCTTAAGAAGTGCCAGCAATACAAAAAACTGAGCAAAACAATTTTAAAAAATGTTACATGTATGCATACAGACTGTTTACTATATTGCTTCAGTGTAGTTTGCGGTTTTATGCCCAGAACAAAGGAAGTTTGGCTGAAAGTAAGAAATGTGCACACCTATCCAATATTTCTTTACTAAATGGAAATTTAGGGAACTACCATTTCTCATGGGTGACCTAGAAACCAATTGGCTAGTGCACTGGACCCCTTCTTTCTACCCAAGAGTATAAAATGGGTACCAGCCAATTGGATGAAATGCAGAGGGTTGGGTGTTAGTGTCCCATCCAGGAGGGAGCAGTGATTCTCCTAGTCGCTTTATGCTAAAGAAACTGGGATAAACTCCAGCTGGTTGGGCCACACAGCTCAAGACACTGTTTAATACAATTTTTTTTTCCAAAAGCAGCTGCAGAATCTGATATAACTCTCAGTTTTGAGAGAATATTATTATTCAAAGAATATCCTTCCCATTAGAAGGTTCCCATAAAACTATAAACTCATCAAGACTAATGAATCTGGTCAAAATATTAACAGATTTTCTTTATACAGAAAAAAAGGATCCTGGTGAAATTTGCTTGCTTCTCTTCCGTAATTTCTTTATTAGTTGCAGATCACTGTCAAGGATCAATTTTTTACTTGCAGTATATGAGCAATATATCATCTTTAGGCAAAACGTGTAGCAGGATGGAACACAAACCAAATGACCTGTTTTCTGTGAGGTAGCAGTGCAAGGTCACCAAGCATAGCCAACTAAGATCGAATTTAACAGGACATCACACAACAGACCTGACTCAAGTTTAACTTAGACTAACTTACACATTACCACATATACTGTACCACATACAATTGACAATTATTTGAAACAGAAGTGATTAAGAGGTACCCAATATTAAAAGTTCAGAGAGAGAAAGAGAAGATCTTTGAAAATTTTATTCACAGTTTCCACCAATATCACACAGGTAACAAACACAAACAATTTCATCATGTCACCTGTACAGTGAACACCAGATATTTTATCAAAAATTAATGTCCAAGAAAGATGGCTTTGCTTGAAATAATTCAAATTTATCCTTGCCTTGTTTGTAATTGCATACAAGTACTCAGTGAAGCTCTACCAGTATCCTAAAACATGCAACATTTGTAATTGTTGTAATTGGTTGTAATACCTACATTTGCACATGGCACATGAAAAGTAAAAACACTTTTTTCAACTCCAAAAAATTCACAAAAATAAGAGTAGATTTCTCCTTACTAGGTTTGACAGATTATTATTCATTTCATATTTTTTTGTTATATGAAGTGCTGAGTCATATACATTTTCATACGTTCTTTCTTATGACCTGATGGAGGACAAACATACATTGTAAATTATGACTGCACCATTGACACAGCTTATCTTAGCAATAAATAGATTCCATGATGTGGTTGGTCTGACTCTGAACAGTAATATTTCACAGAAGACATCAAAATGTCACAAGAACATCAGTGACACACACGCCTACATTTTGTGCCCCTTTTTTGCACTTCCAAATTCTAATGACCCTTGTAATCTGCTCCTGTGATCTATTACTGAACGGACACACAGCAACATGGAATCTATTTGTCAATCTGTTCAAAGGAACACTTAGGTTATAAAAAAATATGGTCAGCATATGAATTCAATAAGTTTATGTAAAAAACAATTTTATTTGTTTAATAAGGCTCTAAAAATACTTTTGACATGATTCTTCATCTTGCTGTACTAGACACATGCCCATTTTCTATCAAGTACACAGTTGTTTTTCTTTTTTGTTTTTGGTAATTTTAAAACTACATTGTATGAATGAATATCCTGAGCAAGACAAAAGAATGTGTTCAAAACTTATTTCCTCAGTTGCATAACCACCTACAATGCAAAGAAAGCACATTCAAACATTAAGTGAAGTAATAATTTCCTTCACCCTAAATCTAGTCTGAACTGAAAGCAATATAACCCTTTCACTCCCAGGACACTGACAAAAAAGAAATTTCTCCTTAAAATATTAATAGTTTTTTCAAGTAAAAAAATGATGAGAAGAGAGGAAATATAAATTTGGGGATATACATGTTGTTTGGTTTGAAGCCAAATTCTCAAGGCCAAAATTATAGGCAATGTACGGAGTACAGTGCAGAGAGTTGATATTTTGATCTTGGGAGTGAAGGGGTTCAGTTGAATGGCAAGAATGGTGGAGGACAGGATCAGGTAATGGTTAGCATGCTATAAATTAAGAATCTGACTTAAGACCGATGCCTATGATCTGGATTTGAAAGCCGTGATTGAGCCAATTGTGTTTATGGGCTGAGCCCACCTCCCTCCTACAGTGGCTCTGACTCCACTCACAACTGAGTACAAATTGGATATTAGCCAATGACCAGTGAAACTTACAGTTTTGTTAACCTTTAACACCCTAACATCAGCATACAATTTCTCCATACTGTTCTCTATACATTTCCTGTGGTACTTACATGCACAAGGGGAATTTGTCTTTCTTAAGGACTTGTGATCATTTAATTTATATCCATGACCTTAATATTTGATTCAGGAGTGATACTATTTAGAGAAATCAGATGCTAATCATCCCTAGGAAGAAAAGGGTTAAAGAGGGGGTTGCATCCATACGCTTTCTTGTGGAAAATTAATGTATACTACATTTTATTCATTATTATTTATTTATTCCTGACAATCAACTTCATCTGGATTAGGTTTGTAGCAACAACATTAGGGTCATGTTTAAGATGGAGAAAAAGCTCAATTAATCCTATATTTTCTTAATGTACATGTAAGCAAAACTTAAATCACAGTACCTTATTAGCTGCATCTAATGATGATATAAGATTGTCTAATTCTTCCTTTGAAAGCTCAACAGAAACGTTCCTATCTTTCCCACTCTCATTGACATCAAAGTCCAGTGTGACAGTGGGTTCTTTTACACTGGCCAACTTATCACTAGACATTGTCATCTATAGGACCAAAATAAAATGAACCATCAAATTATTATTGGAACTGATTTGATTTTCATAATTGGTTTAACTCTTAAACTTCCATAAGTAACCAAGACAGAATTCCCCCCTACAATATCAGTACAACCTGAGCAGACAAGTGATGAGAATTAAAATATATTACATATCAATTAGGGGATTTGATCCAATACCAAATTCTCTGAACCAACATAATAAGAATTACATCACATAAAGTGAGGAGAATTATCATTGAGATCTCAGAAGTAAAGGGGTAAAAGTTCACAAGCATTGCTTGTACATGTACTACTTTATACAGTATCTAAGCCAGTGCTTGAATTCTTGCTTACTAAACTGTGTCTTTCTTTGAAAATTGATAATGTGAGTTACAGCTGTAAATTATAACATGGCCAGTCCCACAGCATGTTGGACCACTACACATAGACTCATTCCCAATCAGTTCTCTCTGGCCTTTCTCTATTATCAAAATGAGATCAATATTGGGATCAATATCAGTATCTAGGTGACTGCCCACCTACCCCTCCCCTAATTCAACAACAGTCAATTGACAACAAGTTAATGTTAATGTTGGGTTAGGGAGAGGTAGGTGGGCAGTTGCCCAGATACTGATATTGATCCCAATATTGTCTATAACTGTATACCCCACATTGTATTTGATAACAGTATGCCGTAGATTTTCAAATGCTATTAGCTATAAAATAATAAATCTTATTAGCTCAGTGGCCAGTTTTTTATTTACATATTTCCTTTTTTCAAATAACTCAAGATTACACTTAAACTTGACAGTTGTGTTACAGGAGCAATGAGGTAAAGAACACAGTTACTCAACATCATTTTTCAGAACTAGTTTTTGCTGTAACTTCAATTTTACACAGTTATTTATGATACAAATTTTACTGGCATCAAGAAAAAGTTTCCTGTTATGTATAATCAAATGTTGCATGTACCTTGACTTTCCAGTCAAAATCTTTTAGGTAAGAATTTGATATTGAAGCTGCATTAAGCACTAGCATTTGTCTCACTTCTTCTTGACGAGGCCAGACACAATCAAGTATGGCTTGTTTAACCTCAGAAGTTAGTGAAAATCTGTCAAGTTCCTTGGAGATCTGTGTAAATGTAAAAATATAACAAATTGAAAATTTTGCAGGAGTCCTATTGTACCTGGAAAGTGATAAAGTAAAAAATTGCATTAAAATGAAAGTCAGAAGCATTAAAAATATCAGAGTAACAATTGAAACCATTTCCAAACAAAAGAGACTTGCACTTGTCAGAGAGCTTGGGTGAAAATTGTCCTTTAGATCATGATTCATGACCGTTGAAAAAATGCTCACTAACAATAACTCCCCGAAGTGATAAACATGTAACTTCTCCATATAATATTCATACATTATCCAGCAAGCAGGTAATGTGAATACTCAAACTTATAAAGTAGAAGTTGTTATCTTGATCTTACTCCAAATTATTGTAACTAATTTACAAGGAAACATGTAGCAGCCAGAAGGGAGAATTAACAAGCAGATCTTGGGAGTTAAAGGGTTAAATCCCAGAAGCAAGAACTTCTCCCTGTGATATCCATACATCATCCAGCAAACAGGTGATGAGAATATTCAAACTTATCAGGCATAAGTTGTTATCTTGATCCAATAACAAATTCCCACAAATATTTTACAAGGGAATGTGTAGCAGCAAGAGGGGAGAATTCACAATCACATCTTGGGAGTTAAAGGGTTAAAGCTGATGTAATGGTTCTTATCTTTCACAATTAAAATCGTTTTTCCTGACATCCAACAAACACATGGTAAAAGGAAGGAGCCTCTGTCCATCATTCCCTTGACCTGTACCAACTCCCTACTGGGATTAAAGCCTGGTTTTCATGAGCAACACAAGCACAAGCTAAAAATGCACCCATAAGCTAAATATCCTTATAAAGTAAATATGTGTTTGTGCTTGTGTTTTTGTTTATGCTTGGGTCTAGGCTGTTTTCATGGTGAAATACATGTATCAGCTGTTGTGCCTGTGTTTGTGCTTGTGCTTACTGTTACTGGTAAAAACTAAGCTTAACTGTTTCTCTTGCCTTCGTGCAACAGCACTGATTCTCTTTAAACTAATCACTTTTTTCCCAACAACCTGACTCACTGACTGACAGACTTATTGACAAATGGAGAGACAGACAGAGGAATGGATGGAAACACAGACAGATAGAATAATGTAAATTGGCCACCAAAGAGAGTTTCCAAAGCTGAAGGTTCAATTATTTAGCTGTTCACCCTGTCAAAGGGCTAATGCTCAAAATTTCAGCCACAGGAACTCTTTGTGGTGGCTATGAACCAAATTATCTTGTAATACCCTCCACTGATGCAATGCCACAGTTTCTTTAGGATCTGACCCCCTGTATCTAATACAGTTCTGGTGGCCTCCCAGATGACTATTTTCTGTCTGTCAATAACAGCAAAATTTAGCACAGACAACATACTTAGTACCTGTAATTTTTTAATCATCATTTGATAAAAAAAAAAAAACACTTGTAAATCACAAAATCAAACCTGTTCCTTGTCCATTCCTCTTGAAGTGAATCCTTTTAAAGTTTCCTTTCCATTTTGTTGTAACAGTTTCCACTCTTCAGTTGTCCAAATCTTTCCATAGTTTTGATATCTCAAGCTCTTCCCAGTACATATACTTTCCAACAGTTCGTGTGTTATCTAAGTAAAAGTTCAAAAATTTAATAATGAAATCAAAGCTCACTGATTACATGCTGCAATCGAGATTTGTAACGGCCACAAAACTAACAATTCCGAAGTTGATTAAAGTTTCGCATTCTTAAAAAGAAAGCTATCATTTCTCATCATTTTCTTGCACTAGAAAAAACTTCTCCACGGAAGAAGAAGAACCCTTTGATAAGAAATTGCGACTTAAAATGTGAGGCGGAGATTGATATGAGCTTCAAATCACGCAGAAAAACCTTTATTTAGCGTAGAACTTAACATCACATGACAGTTTATTTCCCATAATAAAAGTAAAAGCTGAAAAGTGCATCACATGAAATTTCATTGCATATTAATTTTTCAAAAAAATTTGTTTCGTTCTCTCACTTTTTCGGCCTCTTCCTTCGAGCATTTTCCCAGTAACTCCAGTCCTACCCTGTGACTTCCTCCGTCCGCCATCTTGTTTACGCGCCTGCTAAAAGAGTTCAGCGGTCCTTCCCGGAGGAGATGCGCGAAAGGCATAGCAACTCAGAACGATTACCCTAGCAACAGAAGGTACAGATTCAATCAAGGGAACAGGAAGATTTGTATTGTTCGTATCTAGTTGTGGTTTTCGGCGTGGTTGTCGAAAATAGCAGGACCAAAATGCTTCAAGAAGGCAATGGAAGAGTCAAAGTTTACGCCAGAATTCGGCCAACGGCGCGATTCGCGCAGGAAATGATCGAACTCTTACCCGATGGAAAATCGATCAATATTCACTGCAAGAAAGATTTGAGACGTGGTTACATCAACAACCAAATACTTGACTGGAGTTTTAATTTGGATTGCGTTTTACACAACGCCAGTCAAAGCGATGTTTATGAGGAATGTGCAAAGAGAATCGTTACCGAGGGCTTAGACGGTTACAACGGAACGATTTTGGCGTATGGGCAGACGGGAGCGGGCAAGACTTTCACAATGACTGGTTCGACGGAGAAATTCCAACACCGTGGAGTTATCCCACGGGCAATTCAACAGGTTTACAGAGAGATACGGGAAAGGTCTGAGCACGCTGTGACTGTACGGATCTCATATTTAGAAATCTATAACGAGCACATGTTTGATTTGCTTAGTACCTTGACCGGGGCCCCTTTGTTAGATCCTTCTCAGATGACCGTCACAGAGGATGATGATGGATATACAAGAGTGAAAGGGCTCAGCATTCATCAGGCTAATAGTGAAGAAGAAGCCTTGAATTTACTCTTTGAGGTAAGATGTAACCGCATGTTTGCTGATTTGGAAAGGAAGAACAATGTATGTAAGTTGTAGAACTTGAACTTGGGAAGGGGGCTCAGCAATCCTGTGTTTTTTTTTTTTTGAATATTGATGTCACAGCCTCTTTCGAAATTGGAATTTGAATTTAAAGAAAAATATAAAAAGGCATGGATGGATAAGTAAATTAAAAGATAAGTTAGAAATAATAAGCAGTGATAATAGTGATGTTAAAAATAAGAATGATACTAATAATAATGCTTCAGTAATTATCCTAACCCTGGCGATAGTAAGTACAATAATATTAATAATTATAATAATAGCAACTATTATTATCGTCACCGTCATCATCATCATGAAAGACCCTTTTTAAGACCTTAGGCTAAAAACTACTATTATTTATTTATTCATTGATTTTTTTACATGTGGGAAATTATTGATCATCTAAGTCATGTTTGGAATATTTGGAACAGCAATCAAGCTTTCCATACCTTGGGTTGAGGAGGTACAATGTAGGAGTTCCTTGAATCTCTGGTTCACTACAAAAAGCTTGCTGAATGGGTATAGCAGAGTTCTTTAATATGGCTCTATGGGATGTAGCTTCATGTCCTAGATAGTACTATTAATGATACCATCTATCTGTATCTTCTAATGGTCACTAATAAAGCAGATTATATAATAAGCTCAGTTATGCATGCATTCTGATTGGTTCTCACTTATGATCTATTGGAGGACAGACGTATAGATGACATCATCATTAAAACTTTTTTTATTTTAATTCTTTATTATATAAAACAAATAGATTCCAAGATGCCGTGTGTCTGTTCAGTAATAAATCACAGAGGACGTCAGAGATACTCAGCTGTGCCTCGTGTGCCACTTTTTTGTTCTTACCACATTTTGACATCATCTGTGATCAATTACTGAACAGACGCACAGCAACTTGGAATCTATTTGTTAAGTAGACAATCCTAACACATCATAAAAATCAAGGTTTAGCTAGATGCAGTTGATAAGCAAAATTATAAATTGGAATAAACAAATTGGTTTGAAATCACATTGAATTATACAAATGATAAAGGTGAAATTGCAATTGAAGTTGCAAAGTTAGGATTGAACGGTTGTTGTTAAATTTGTGGTTTAAACCAAAGAAATACAGCACAAACTAAACTAAGAAAAGTATCCTGGGAAATGTAACACTAACCTAACTGACAATGAACCGATTATAAAGAGAACTGAATGCAAGAAATAAACCAATAATACCAACACAAAAGGGAAATATTGTAAACATAAGAGAAAGAGTCACCTGTACTTTGGTCTTACTAGCTCCTAATAATAGCAGATAATTCAGTAAAAGTTGAATGCGGTAGCAGCAATGAAATCCAATATCTAATGCATGTGCTTTAAAATGCAACTGATTGAAATATTGAACTTATTAACTAACAAAGAATTGATTGATAAAATTAAACCAAAATTAACCTAAATGAAAAGGATACAAACTACGCATTTCAAAAGCAACACTATCAGCTTAAAATGTGGATTACATATTAATATTTAGATGAGAACACACTACTTATTATAATGATAATGATGATGATGATGGTGATTGTAATCAAAATGATATCAAAAAATAATGTTAATAATCATTCCTGTCACCTTAAAGGGCAGGTTTCACTTTCACTACAGTCAACAGTGTTATGCAAAGGAGCATCAGTCTTCTTTAAAAACATTTATTTTTCCACATTTATTCCTCTACTTACAATGTTAAATGTTATTGATTGACTGAAAAGCTTCCTCTCATTGATTATTTATTCCCACAAAGACATACATGTACTGAAGTGAACCTGTTAAGCCTCTGTCTAGGGTTGGAAGGAGCACCACGGGTCTGCAAGGTGTAAATTAGCAGCTAAGGGACTATGAGGGCAACCAACCCTCATTACTGAATCATGATTGCTCAATCTTGAGTCTTAGGATACTAGCCACAAAATTGTAAAATCATTCCTTCTCAATGAGCCGACACTTGGGCCAACTTCCAACCTGACCACAGCATTGTGTCAGGTTTGTCTGTGTGTTGTAGATTGTACACGTACCTCGGACATTTATCTATCGTCATCTCAAGAGTAGAAATCGACTTAACTATGTATAAGGGCAGGGTATAAGGGTTGAGTGAGATTCAAAGAGCTTAAAAAACTAGAAAAACTATTAGTTGCCATTGCTTTGGCACTATTCCTCTCTTAGTACTCAAGGGAGTAGTTTCCTTTCCATTACCTATCAATAACCCAATGTCATAGTCTCTTTAAGTACATTAACATCAAGAATAGCTAGTAACCAATGCAGACCTTCTTTTATTTGGTGGTTTAGTCACTCACCCTCTAAATGAGGGAATCGAAAGAGGACTAACACCTTTATATCAAGTAAAAATTATTGGTAAATAATCTTACAATTTTTTTTTTTATTTCAGGGCGAAACTAATCGTATTATCGCTCAACACGCATTGAACAAACGTTCATCTCGCTCGCATTGCGTGTTCACCATCTACATCGAGTCACACTCGCGCGTCGAGTCCAACACGAAGTACGTCACCTCTAAGCTGAACTTTGTGGACTTGGCCGGGTCTGAGCGACTGGGGAAGACTCTGTCTGTAGGTGATACCCAGGTGGAAGCCATGTACATCAACAAATCGCTGACCTTCTTGGAGCAAGCTGTGATAGCCTTGGCAGACAGAAGGAGAGATCATGTCCCATTCAGACAGAGCAAACTCACTCATGTGTTAAAAGATTCCATTGGTGGGAAATGCAACACTTTGCTGATTGCAAATGTATGGGGAGAGGCTGCTCACATTGAAGAAACGGTGAGGAATATTCCTTCATTATTTTTTCACAGCGAAGGGGTAAGTTAAAAGAAAACTGAAATAAATTAACGAAGAAAGGAAAGGAAGAGAAAGAAACAAAGGCGTCCTGTGTTTAGATGGAATGAAAACATTTTGTAGATTACAACGTCGATACATCTTAAGTGGCAGATCATTTGCTGTGCTTTGTGTTTAGCCAATTAGTCTGCCTCCTGCTAGTTGAGATTTTTAAAAACATTGCATTTATTCACAATGTTTCTCTCCAGTTTGTTCGTGTTGGCCCTGAAACGACCCCCCTCCCAGCGAGGGAATGGTCAAGAAGTACACATACATACATAAGTTACCTACATTCGGGAAGGAAAAATTGACAGCCACTTTTTTTTCCTCAAAGCTTTCCACGTTACGTTTTGGCAGTCGAATGATGAACGTGCCATCAGAACCTGCTGTTACAGAGCACTTCGACATGATGAGACTCTGCAAACAACACGAGAAAGAAATCCGAACTCTTCGACAAGAACTCGCCATGCACGACACACTGACAAACCGCAGTCAGATCTCCTACGAGCCGCTTTCAGAATCTCAAATCCAGGATGTCCGCGAGCAAGTAAAACGATTCTTGGCGGGTGAAATGAACGATATTGAACTCGTCAATGTTCGGCAAATTAAAGAGACGTTCGCGCAGTTCCGAGTTATTGTGAACACGATGAAGGCGGACGTTGAAGAAAAGCTGCGAGAAAAGTACGTGTTACAGGAGAGAGATGGAGCAACTTCCGGTGAGTTATTATCATACAGCCAGGGAGGGTGAGGGCGGTACTCGGGCCAATTTTTGTTGGGTGCTGTGCCTCAGGCCCGTCAGAGCCACTCACCCCATCACCATTACAGTTTATTCTGTGGCCAATTGTAGACCCCATCTTAAACGCATTTGGGCAAATGAAACAACTTCATAACCGCGAATTCCCAATTTTTTAAATCCCTTTTTTTACCAAAATTTTATGACCTCCAAAATCTCGATTATGTGCGACCCCATTCTAGTAACTCCAGTGTCAATACAACCCATTTATAGTCAATCCACTCATGAAAATGCGACCGCATCCAGCGGCACATTCCCATAATCTCTCACTTGATCGCACTGATTCCTTCTTCAACTACTTTTTGGTTATCAGCTTTTATGGTGTGGTTTGACCATATCGATTACTCTAAAAATAAAAATAAAAAAATTACCTTAGTCTACGTTTCCCGATTGGAGGAATAGTTGTGTTGAAATTGCATTCCCGGTAGCCGTGAGGCTGAAATTTTCAGGAAGGAACTCATATCGGATGACTTCCAAAGAGCTTGTTCAAGTTGACCGCTATTATCCATATTTC